CATCTACCTAGGCCTGCGGCGCTGACACCCGAGTCGGGTAGTGCAATAGTGAACAAAAAGATACGGGCCTCCGGTCCGTCAACGACCCGTCACTTTGACTAAGCATGCAGGGTTGTACATTTTTAGCAGATGATACATTTGTAACTGAAACTTTGAACACTTAAAACAACTGAAATGATTAAGAATGATAGGTCAAATGTGTCATTGCTTGTACTGTCATGAAGCGGCGTGCAGAGAGGCACAAGGCGTGACGTCACCAGAAGAAGATAGACAGGGGGGCGGCTGGTTGTTGGTGGCCCGCCCGCGCCACAGCCGTCCTCCGCAGCGTAAGCCCCCCTCCCCCTCCCCTCCTCAACCATTCACAACTGCAGCGGCGCACACTACTTCGCGCACTTTGCCTCCCGCAAACACCAACCAGAGCGAAAATTACACGAAAGCAAAAGGCAGATGAGCGGGGAGGAAGAGAGAGGGGCGGCGGCCCAACGCTTTGAATCAAATTAACTCTTGTTTGGTAGTTTTGGCGCGACAATGATTGAGGGCGCGGTGGTTTATTAGGACGAGTCTCGCTGCCGCTCCATCCGGAGGGCCCCGCCCGCCCCGCCTCCCGCCTCGCCATATCGCGTGCTCGCTTCCGTTTTAAAGCTAAATTACTCTTCTCGCGCTCGATGCATGCTCTAGATTTAAAACGAGAGGATGACGCATTGCCGACTGACACTCTGCCCTTCCCCCCTCCACCACACCCCGTGATCGTGTGCCGTTTGATACAACAATAATGGATGAGCGGAGCAAGTCGACACGTTAACGCGACGCGACGGGCAAAGCGATGTAAGCGATGAAACCGGATAGTCGTGCGACATGTCGCGAATAACACAGTGAGCGGTGGTGGTGGACCTGTCGAGCGCAGCAGCAGCGTATAGCAGCGGAGAGGCACTCTGGGGACGCGGTGCCGCGCGCCGCGACGCGGCCGGCCGCGCACGTGGGGTGGAGGGAGGAGGGTGGACGTCGTCGTGGTCCAAAGCAAAACATGTTTTACTTTCCCGCTCTATTTCATAGTGGGTGTTTACTTGCTGAGGCATTAGGCCCGATAAACGTACAGGGGCGAGGAGTGTCGCCATCCACGTCCCCTGCTTCGTCCTGTCCTGTAGCTTCCACCAGCTAGAAGGGGCGACGGATTCGCCCGGCTCGGCCACCTGCTCTTGGCATGGTGCTCCCGGTGGTGCTCGCAATCCTGCTCGCCGTGCTAGAGGCGGGCCCGCCACCGAGGCCGCCGCCGTCATCCAGTACGTTCATCAAGCGCTGCTATAGTACCCACCCCTGCCGCTCCACGCACCCCTCTTGTCCTCGCGCCCGTGGCCCCCGTTCCGTTCCGGGCTATGATTGTTTACGACAATATGTGCCACTGCGACAAATGTAGCCGTCCGGTCCGGTCGGGGAGAGGCTGGGGGAGGTAGGAAGGGGGCAGATAGATCATCAGCATGGTGCATGCATGTAGTGCTGCTGGGTCAGGGCGGGATGGAAAAAAGGGCGCATGTATGACTCATGATGCGGATGAGGAGTAGTATAAAGGTGTCAGTGGTGTAAGTTTTTCCGGCCGGCGACACAATCAGGGCCGCGTCGCCCCGCCCCGCCCCGCCTCACACTGACGCGCCGCGGTGAGTCGACGGTGAGTGGCTGGTTGACTGATTGGAAAGCGATCGATGTGCGCGCGAGCCGCAGATCGGCATCGGCGGGGCGGCATGGCATGCGACAGCGCGAGGCCCTCCTGCTCCTCAATCACTTGGCCCTGCCATCCATCGTAAAAGAGAATGCGGGGAGGAGGATGATGAGGTGGAAACTTTTGACGCCGCAGATGTCGACACCTTCGCCGAGGGCTCCTGCGCGGGCAAACCTGCGCGAGGAGGGTGCGCGGGGCTGGCGCTGCGGGGCTGCCGAGCTGGGCGAGCAGGAGCTAGGGGGCCTAAAACTCAAGGGCGGCCCTGTCATCGCCCTGTCACCTCCCCGTCACACTGCCGATATAGCTTGCTCCTGTATCCTCGCGCACCCATCCTCACCCTTCCCTCTCTGCGGCAAGACGCCTGTAGAGCCGCTGAGGCCTCGACTGAGACTGCAGTCATGGAAAAGAGTGACAAAAGCACCCCGAGGTGGACTACTTGCATCCCCCAACAACACCCCTCCTCCCCCTCCTCCCGCCTATTCGCCTCGTCGACACGGTTGACGATTTCCGAATGCGAGTTTCATTTCAATCAGCGAGACCCTCCTCACCCCACCTTACCTCCCCCTCCCCCTCCCTTGTCTGCACCAGCACGCCCACCACCACCACCACCAGCCCCGCGGCCCACCACCACCACCACGCACAGTGGCCCTTATAATTGGACTGTGAGGAGCTGTTTTTAATAGATCGTGCAGGAGAATGGTATGAAGACCCAACCACCAACCAACACCCCTCTCTCCAACACCCCCACAAATAATAAACATAAAAAGTACCCCC